CTCTACTCTCTCCCTATTTGTGACCTGCACAAAAAAAGATGTCCTTTCACTGGCTCTACCTTCAATATACATTAATATACCAATCATATGTATAGAAACCCGTGACTTGTAACCATGAAATCAAGACTTTGTTCTGTGGTGTTAAAAGCAATAAAACCCTGAAGGCCTGAAATGGTATTCATACATGTATCACATAACAACTTGTACAACTCTGTCCGTGGGTAATCCATCAAAAGCTGTGGATGATGGTATGTGCAGTATAACAAGCCTTCAGGGAGTAGTTTATTATGTAATTTTATTGCTTTTAAAAACACATAATAATTGCATAAAACCATTGGCCATAGGCAGCCCATCATAAGCTGTGGATGATGGTATGTGTAGAGTAATGGTCATCGGGTGATCACTTGATGACCATTGTTCTGCACATACCACCCATCCACCATCATAGCTTTTCATGGGTTGGACATGGGCAGAGTTCTGCAAGTAGTTATGTGATTCATGTATGAATTCCGTGTTCTTATAAAACCATTTTACTGCTAATGGCATAAAGCCATGATTTTATGGTTACAAGTCATGGGTTCTTTCTATAAATATTATTGGTACATTGATGACTATTGAGGGTAGCCAGCAAATGTGACAGGTCTATTCACTGAAGGGTGAAGAGTTTGGAGAAGGCCGGAGAAGTGAACAATCTAGGACAACATTGCTAAACTGGAAAGTGAGCTGAATTGGAGAATGTTTCCAGTTCAGCAATGTTGTCCTAGATGGTTCACTTCTCTGGCCTTCTCCAAACTCTCCACCCTTTTGGGAATAACCCTGATAGTCTTTTGTTTGGTGCAACTCTTTGGTGCTAAAGAGGAACTTTACCTGCTAATTGAAGGCCAGTTCACACCACATCCAGTGCGTTCTAGCATCGGATAAAGCAAGCCTCCCACCCGCTGGGGCGGCATGGGGCCATCCATGTCAGTGGCATCGTGGACACGCCTCCCGCCCGCACCAGAACGTGTGGTACAGCAATGCCTTGGGTTCCGGTGCAATGCAATTGCAAAAATAGTGGCTTGCTCTATGCGATCCAAAACTTTCCGGCCACTAACCGTGCCGCAAAACACTGGATGTGGTGTGAACCAGCCCTCAATGTCTCCCAAAAGAGTTATGTTTAAGGCATGCCAACTGTCAAGGTTGTCAGTGTGCTTATTTCAACTCTCAACCAAATTTTCAAGCTCTCATATAGCCGATCACATGTTCAACACCATGGCAACTACATTCCAAAGACAGGCTAAGACGGCGGCTTTCTTGGATATAAGCGATTGGAGGTTGTAGTGCCACAAAACTACATGTACATTAATTCTGTGCAAATGGGGCAGAAATTGATGTTATTAGTATATTTTCTTTCCAGGTCGAATGTAATATCAGGAAAATAATGAATTACGGCCACTAAATGGAGCCAAGGATCACGGGAAACAAGCATTTCATATGGCACTCGGCTCCATCTAGCAGCCATATGATGGTATTTTACTGGTTCACTTTAAGCTTATGAATGAATTACATTCGACCTGTAGAGAGACTATAGTAATATCATTGGCTTTTGCCAACATTAGCACAAAATGAAATGTACAAACGGTTTCACAGGACAAAAGGCTATGGCTCTGGAGTTGACCAAGTGTGATCAAGGTATTTCCATGCTGAACACCTAGTAACAAAATTCCTGTATGTGACTGGCCTTTCCTCTCCTTCTATGACGGGCCATGGTGCTGTACCCAAATACAAATTGATGCAACTATGAGCCTTCCCATCTTGTGTCTGCCCGCTTTGATTCCATCAGTCTTTGTCTTGCCATTGCCGATTCTTTTTGACTGGCCACTGTCCACCCTTGTGTGGTTACAAATACTACAGAAGCCTCCGCCCTCGACCTCGTCACTCTGTATCTTTCCACCTCATTCTACAGCTTCTTCTAATGCTACCCAATGAACAAGGAAACTGTGGAGAGGTTACAAAGTCTACTGAAACTTCCATGATTTCTATGTTCTTCATGGCAACCACACCCCAGAATGCCCCTTGACCTGCATGGGAAGGGTGAGCATGTGGGTCTGCTTTCTGAATCTTTCCTGTACAACATTCTAGAACTCAAACTTCCAAAGTGGGTTTGGATCTGGTTCTTCATACTAACACTTGGATAAGGGATAGGTGTATGTGGGAACAGCTCTCCTGTGCTACTAACAAGTGAGCAAAAAGGGGGTTTCCTGACCTCAGATGAAGGGGATTGGAAACCGCCGCAGTGCTAGAGCAATAGATGGATGGAAATGAGAAGCCATTAGCAGAACAGCTGCCCCCCCCCCCAGTTTTAAAGTGAAGACTCAATGCAAAAAACACCAAACAATGCAGTTAAGCAATCATTAAAAACTCCAGGCAAACCACCGAGTAAAGCTTGCAGGGTCTTCAAGAGGATAAAACACGGGGAAATGTGTTGTAGTTATGTACTGCCCGGTTGCGTTAAAAATTATGCTAGCGTAAGAATTTGCAGAAGGTATCAGCCTATGTAACCACCCTGTATAGCAGCTCTCCTTTATTTCCCAATCACGAACTGGGGGTGGGAAGGTCAGCAATCTGGGAGAGCAGTGTAAATCTAGGGACTGGCTTATTTTAGCTGTATATTTAGCAGCAGGACAGAAAGTCGTTTTGAATTGACAATGTTGGCTAGTGTGTATCCTCACCATAACCAAAAACAATGGATTAAAGTCGACTTTAACTTCGCCATCCTTACCTGCCAGGTGGGCAGCACTTTCTCTATGTCATTCAGATTAATCTCATCTCCCTCTTCACACTTCCCTTTACCAAACCTGAACAAAGAGACAAAATTCTGCATTATACAGTTTGCAATAGTAATAATGCCAACACAATGATTACTTTGCAGTATGTTTATTAAATGCAACAATGTAAGACAGAAAAAGTAACTTATTCTAATATGAGTTGAATGTATATATTTATAAAAATGTAACTAATGGTTAGGTATTCTGTGGTCGGATCAAAATGGAGTTTTGGAATAACGAGTTGAGAGTGTGATCTCAATGGGGGTTATTTCTTCCCTTTAAATTCATATTCTACATATACAGTGTATTACCAAAAGTATTGGGACGCCGGCCTTTACACGCACATGAATTTTAATGGCATCCCAGTCTTAGTCTGTAGGGTTCAGTATTGAGTTGGCTCCGCCCTTTGCCACTATAACAGTTTCAACTCTTCTGGGAAGGCGTCCACAAGGTTTAGGAGTGTGTCTATGGGAATGTTGGACCATTTGTGAGGTCAGGTACTGATGTTGGGGGAGAAGGCCGGGCTCGCAGTCTCCGCTCTAATTCATCCCAAAGGTGTTCCATCAGGTTGAGGTCAAGACTCTGTCCGGCCAGTCAAGTTCCTCCACCCCAAACTCCCCCATCCATGTCTTTATGGACCTTGCTTAGTGCACTGGTGCGCAGTCATGTTGGAACAGGAAGGGGCCATCCCAAAACTGTTTACCTGAATCCAATGATTTGGTGTCCCAATACTTTTGGCAATACAGTGTACATTTAAATGGAGTGTGGGTGGACTAGGTGTGGCCAGATGCTGATGGACCAGCTACAAAGCTTGTGATTCAGCAGTGGCAATGCTGATAGTAACACCCCATGCAAGGTCTCATGTCACTGTAGTTCAAGTAGGCGCCGTATACATGAGGGTTTTATAGGGAAAGTTGACAAACCTGTAAATGAAAAAGCAAAAAGGAAAATATTAAACAGCAAGCGCAGGAAAAATGTGAAAGTCACATTAAAATGACTTCCAGGGAAACCATCACAATAATAGGTAAACATGTGTACTCCCAGGATATACCCCGAGCAATACAAATAATAATAGCAGTTACCCTTCGCGGTCTATTTGAGGCAGGGGGTGCTTTGGGGCGTTGCGGACCTTCCTGTGAAACTGAGTGAAGTCGAGTTTTTCTGGCTGCAAGTCCCACGTCGCTCCACTAAAGACAGCAGAAAATAACGTTATATGATAAGTGTAAGAGCCTGCTGTGTGACAGGAAATGGCGAGAGAAAACAAATGAGCATTGGGACAATATTAACGAAGATGAACGTCCATTGTACTGCTATGCAGGACACACAGCAAAGGAGGACTAACCAGAAAGGAATGCAGCTCTGTGTTCATCGTTGCATCATTAAATTCCGGTCCTGTACAGCAGTGCACATGTGCCAAAATGGAGCATGCGGATAGAAAAAGAGCAGAGTGACAGAGATGAGCTCATCAGTCTGCTGCATCTCCTTTCACTGTCCAGTCATACACTGGGGAGAGACAAGACTTTTAAGTGTTGCTGAGCAGCAGCAGAGGAAAACCAGGTCTCCTTTGCTGCCAGGCAGTACTGTGTTGTGTGGCAAAGCTGTGAAAATCTTAGGACTGCATGAACAAAAACAAATACTTAGCACATAAAACTGCACATTTATCTGTTTGCCTGGAGTTCAACTTTAAAGCCCGTTGGGCAGAGGCACCACATTTATCTGGGTACTCAGATAAGCAGCCCCCCCAACTCCCCTCCTCCTCACCCCAGCATTATAAACTGAGCTAACAGGGCTTACTGATGGATGTAAAATCTATCTAATAATCTCTCCAGACAGGAGCTGTGACAACTCAATATAAAATTCAACTCTACCCATCTGTCTGTGAATCCTGCCTGGACACAAAGGCATCATCCCTTGTGGCTGGAATTATTTTTTTTATCCCAGTCTACTGGGAAAGGATGGATGATGTTATTGGACCGAGGAAACAATTTTTAAAAGTTATTACAGCTGCCATCTATGGATTACATGAGATGCGACAGCAGAGAATGTGCTATAAAGAGTGTATAACAGCCTCTATGCTCAGGTACTGTTAGATGGGATAGCATAAGACAAGGGTAGGCAATCTCCAGCCCTCCAGCTGTGGTGCAACTACAAATCCCATAAGTCATTGCAAGACTCTGACAGCCACAAGCATGACGGGATGTGTAGTTTCACCACAGCTGAGTTTGCCCACCCCTGGCATCAGGAATAGCAAGAGTCATTATAAGCAGCTTTATAATTAGAATCTAACAACGTGCTTTTATGACAACTGGAGACGTTCTTTAAAAAAAGGTAAACAAAGAAGACAATAAGCAAAAGAGCATGAAGGAAATGTGTACATCTGTCTATATAGAAATCTATTCCTTCTTACCTTATTGAGTCAAATGTACTCGCTGCCCAAATCTCTGTTCCAAGCATGTCTGGGGAGCCCTCTTTATTTCCATTCTGCAGAAACAAAGCGAGAACGATATTGACACACTAACAACACAGCACATACAGTGAGGAATAGAATGATTTGATCCCCTGCAGATTGTGTAAGTTTGCCCACTTACAAAGAAATGAAAGGTCTAGAATTTAAAAAAAAAGTGGATTGGTGGATTATTACTTAGAAAAAAAAAGGTTTGAGCATTTAATACTACTTTAAGCTCTGTCCCTTCCAGAAACTCATCCACCGGTCTTCCAGGTTGAACAGTATCCAAGATCATTCAACCCTGACTCATAGGCACACCCCCAGGTAGCAGGTCGCCAAGTTGGCTCGGGCTCACGATAAAGCAGATTTCTGCAGTACTGAGGACTGGCCACTGCAGGAAGACGACACCGAAGATATCATGTGACCAGAAGACCTCAAAAAGATATCTATTAATGGAAACAGGTGCAGCTATTAAAAAAAAAAATACTGGAGTTCTGCTTTTTAGGAAAACTGAACAAAAACGCACTGGCTGCCACTTCTGATCTTGTGAAAATGCTAGCTGTCTGGCTATCAGGGGTCCCTAATACTTCGAGTCCCTGGCCTGAAAAATCTGCATCCTCTTCTGCCTTCTCCTGGGCCCAGCCCTGCTCGCCTCTATTGATAGCTCAGTATAAACTTTGATATTCAGCATTATGTGCATTATGGTTAGCAGACACTAGATGGCGCTGCCTTCCAACTTAAAGCCGAACCTCACATACTGAGGATTCCAGCTCTGGTTAACTAGAGGGCCGCACTGGTCTGTCACATACCCAGAGGACAAAAAGTTTATTAAGCACAGAAACAAATCACGGCCTCACACTCCTTGTGGATGGATAAAGCTCTAAATTACAACATTAATTAAACATAGTGGCTCTTATGTTGTATTGATCTACGAGCTCGTGCTAAATCAGCACACACAGGGCCCAGATGCAGCTCAGCAGCAAACAGAAGACAATTAACTAGTTCACAGCGCAGAACAGATAAGATCAGTGGTTGGTCACTGGCTGACAAGGCATGCTGGGACTTCTAGTTCTTCCACAGCTCAGTCTGTCCATGCCCAAACACTGAACTCCTATTAGTCTCCCCCAAGTCTGTCACTATTATGCCTTCCTGCCCCATGACTTAACGTTTGACAATCAGTGAAATCCGTCTTAAGTCCAGACATTAGGTCACAGAGGTGCTACTGTTCTGTAAGAGGCCTGAAAGCTCCAGAGATGCAGTTTACTATGTTGGGACAGAAACCAGGATTTTATTTGCACCCCTGGAACCTGCAGGCACACAATCTCTGGGATCTAAACCAACACCCCTCTGCTAGGATCACCTCCGAGGCTGGTTCCACACTAGTGCATTGCAGGAATATGCATTTAAGGCCTCATTCAGACTAAGAGGCGGCCCATACAGATCCATGCGGTGTGCACAGCCGTATCGGGCCGTTCCCGGGAAGGACAGGTGCTGCGTGTGATTGTACAGCCTGTTCTTCTCTATGGGAGTACGTGGCCGTACGCTCACGCGAACTGCACATCCGTGGGGGAGTCCGTACTCGTACACAGACAGGATGGATCCGAGCATGGACACCCGCATGGATGCGCATACGGCGGCGTACGGCCACGTACTTCCATAGAGAAGAACAGGCTGCTGCGTACAATCACAGGCAGCACCTGTCCTTCGCGGGAACAGCCCTATACGGCTGTGCACACCGGCCGGCTCTTAGCGGTGTGAATGAGGCCTAAGGCTCCTTTCACACGGTCCAATCAGAAGGGGATCCGTCCACATATCCCCTTCTGATTGGAATGGATTTAGCTGTTCATACACCAACATCAGGCTTCCAATCAGGTCTGCCTGCAAAAACAGATATGTGGATCTGATCAGAAAGCCCGTGTGAAAGGGGCCTATGGCAACGAATAATAATTGAGGAAAACATGTGCGTTGCATTATGGTACCACTGATTTAGAATTACGTTCCAACACTTACAGCAGCTGTTAATGCACCTGCACTGCACCACAAACACACATAGCACACTTTGTGGTGTGCTGCATTGCCAAAAATGCTTCAGGTGCATTTTTTTGAAGCACTGAGGTACATTGAAGTGCTCCTTAACGCAGCGCACTTCAATGAATGGAACCGCACGTGCATTAATACACACACAAGGTCAAAGAGGCCCATAAACAAAACACTTTCTTATTTTACTGTTACTGACTTAAAATATTGTGTAAATTAATCTACCGGCTGCTGGACCGCGCACACATCCACAAAGGTCATACAAGGGGAGTCAGTGGGATGTGTACAGTGCAGGGAAAAAAAATAAACTAGGTCATGGGAAATCTGCGTATTAAGAAAAATATAATGTTTTATTAAAGCGGAACTCTGGCCTCTCCTTCAGTCTTACACAGTTGTAGCGGCTCCTCTCCTGGAAGTTGCTTCCTCCGATTTCACTGCACCCTGCCAGCTTGTCAAAATGTGCATTAGGAGCTGCATTAAGGGCCCTATCACACCATCAAGAGTGCGTTCGGCCTCTGGAACGCAACCCGGCCAGCTCACTTTGTTTTGGGGCAGGAGGGGACGTGGTGGTGCCTTGAACTCAATGGCACCGCAGCCACGCCCCTCACTCACACTGGACCGGAACGCACACACTAATGTGCCGCGTGTTCAGGTGCCAGCGATCGCACTGCGCGTGAGGGGCGTGGCTGCGGTGCCATTGAGTTCAAGGCACCGCCACGTCCCCTCCTGCCCCAAAACAAAGTGAGCCGGCCGGGTTGCGTTCTAGTGCATTCCAGAGGCCGAACGCACTCTTGATGGTGTGACTGGGCCTTCAGTCAGAGAGAGTCCACCCCATTTCCTGGCTGGAGGACGTCCATCATCATCTAGTACTTTCATTTCCAGTCTGACTGTCCCTGGCTGCCCCTTTCATTGATTGGATTTCAGTTATTTCAATGACGGAGGCTCACATGTGGGCATTCCCTAAGGTGGTCTGCATGCAAATACAGCACTCCTCTCCAGACTGACAGCCACCCATCAAGGCACAGGGAATGCAACATAAGCAGATTGAACTAGCAGTTATTTGTTATTTTTTAATATAGGTCTCTTTTAATCAAACTGGACATATCCTGGCTATTACTAGGAACCAGCAATCCATTACCTTGCAATACCCCCCGTAACAAGGTGTTGTGGGTTTTTGTACAGTAGGGGCCATTAAAGCCGCTCCTCAGCACACTTTCCTTGGTATTTAATCACAGTGCTGACATTTAATTAATAACTAATTACCGGGAAGAGCAGAGCCGGCGCTCACAAAGACAAATGGCTGAGTGTGTTAATCGCTCCATCTCACAGGTAGCATGCCTGAGACAGGGAGGGAAGAGAACATGCAGATAAATGTGGTGCTGGGAAAACTAGAGCGGCTGAAAACAGCAGTGCAGGTCCTAACAAAAAAACTCAGTGTTAGTCTTTACATTGAGATCTGTGTGTGTGTATATAAAGACGCTTTATTTTGGTGCGTTGCCATGTGTTTTCTTGTGCAGTGACATTTCCAGTGCGTTTTTGAAGGATGGGGACTGAACATCAATCGACCAGGGCTCGGTAATACCTATTGTCAATGCATCTCATCTCTTCAGGGAAGCCTATCCCTCCTCAACCTAACCACTCAACCATCACGTTCTCATACAATTCATCCCCACACAGCTCACTCCTCATGTATCACCTCCCCCTCCCTATTAGATTGTAAGGCCTCAGGGGCCGGGCCCTCCTTACCATCTCGTCTTGATTTGTATTGTAAGTGTAATGTCTTCCTTATATTGTAAAGTGCTGTACAAACTGTTGGCGCTATATAAATCCTGTATAATAATACATTAAAAAGCAAGTTATAAGCGTATTAATGCTAAGTTATTGAGTTCTGCGGGTCTCCCAACACAATAAAATCCATTAAAAATCCCCCCAGATATGTTATATTTCTCAAAACACAATATATTATGGGGAACATGGACACATGCAAGAGAGTAAGGGCTCGTTCACACCAGTCCATGTGCTTAAAGGAGAACTATGAGGCGAGTGCTTTTCACTCACCTCATAGTTCTAGCCGACCTGTGACAATGAGACTGTCACAGGTCGGCTCAGTAGATCGGGAGGTGAGCGAACACATACCGGCGTTCGCTCACCTCTCGATCCTGTCACGGCTCTCTGCTGTGACCGCGGAGGGGCTGGATTCCCCCCTCCCCGCTCCGATCCTCCAGCGCTGACTGGCGGAACGGACGGGGGAGGGGGCGGGTACAGCTGGCTCTGCCTCTAGATAGGCAGAGCCGGTTGTCAGTCACGCAGCTGGGCGGATCCCGACACTTGTCGGGATCCGCTTCAGCTGCGGCGTCTCAGTATACCGCGAGCAGCTGCTGGCGGTATACTGTGGCGTCTCAGTATATCACGAGCTACAGCTCGCGGTACACTGAACCTAGGGTGACGGGAGGACGCTAGTTTGTGTCCTCCCGTTACCCTAAGGAGAACTATGGGGAAAAGACTTAACCCCATAGTTCTCCTTTAAACAATACAGGATAGTGCCCATGGTGTAAAGGAGTGATTGGCTGTGTGATGCGTGACACTTTCAACTCTATGAACTGCAGCAGATTGCGATAATGTGGTGCAGCAACATGCAGTGAGGGGAGTTGTGCTGCGTGCATTGTAACCCACCTCAACACAGCACTATTGTATGAACAGGGCACATCCAAAACAATTGTCTTCTATGTGCCCCTTGCTTTGAGCATGCAGTCATTTATGTAGATTAGCCCAGCTCAGCACATGGTGTTAACGAGACTTTAATGGGTACTTATTGTTTTTTCTATTTGCTAGAAAGTGACCAAATCCCAACGGGGCCGACTGGCAAGATACTGAAGCTTGGCACAGCGGGAGATTACTCCATCCACACAGTTTAGCGTAGATGGAGGAATCTGTTGCACCTTTTCCATCTGACCATAGAAGAGGTAGTGTATGGCCAGCTTTAGGATTTGTGATTCCCATCCAGAGGTAGCTCCACAAGAGTACATAGCTTGCTTCCTCACCTGCAGGGGGTGCCAAGACATACTAGAAGGACGAGGCTACAATTATTTTGTATTACAGCACAATTGCAATATAGGGAAACTGGAAATGGGTCCACCGAAGGCTAGATTCATAGGGGGGGAATTAATCAATACTGGTGCAGACAGAATCTGGAGCAGTTGCCCAGGGCAACCAATCAGCTTCTCTCTTCAGTTTGTTCAGTTAAGCTTTGAAAATGAAAGAGAAAAGCTAATTGGTTGCTGTGGAAAACTGCTCCAGATTCTGTTTGCTCCAGTTTAATAAACTCCCCTCATACTGTAGCATTTAAATGCAAATGAGCCACACATTTTAGCACATCTTGGTGAATCTTCATCTTCAGCCAGGGTTACCGGCCCTTCCTGCCCCTCCCCCAAATCATTGACCCACATACCCCCTTCTCTACCTATTGTCCTAAATATATTATTTCAAAAAAACTAAGCTAAATGCCCAAAATATTTACCTATATCCATGGTCACATGACTCGCCTGGTCTTGAGTGTTGTTTCCTCACTGCAGAGTGGGATGGTCCTTCTTTAAGTGCCTGCGTCGCTGTCCGGTGACATGGGCACTTCCTATTGGGCCCATTGGCAGGCCCCTTGTAGCATTCTGAAGAGTCCAGAAGCACATATGATGACATCACAAGGAAGGTCAGCACCAAGACCACCAAGTCGGCGGCGGGCCAGGGCTGAAGCAATGGGATACTGGTCTTCACTCCTGGACAAGTCTCCGCTGAGGATCACGCAACGGTTGAGTTAGCCAAGTAACAAAAGTGCTTAATCTAGAGAAAAAACTGGTGAAAGGGAGGCAGTGGGGAGAGTTTTGATCCTCCAAAAACACAAGCTGAAGGAAAAAACTAATTTTTAAAAAAACACCTTTTTAGCTCACTACACTCAAACCATTAGAATGAATGAAACTCTACAGAGCTTCATTCATTAATCAAATTCCTCCACCAAGTCCTCACCAAAACACAATCCAAAAAAATGAAAGGAGATCCCGGATGGTGCAAAACCTTTTATTATCATAAACATCACATAAAACTAAACCAAGTGCGGAGACCAGCACTGTTGTGAATATCTCCGACCCTGTTTGGTGCTTCCAATGCCACGAGCAAATGTAAAATGTAATGACCCAACCGCTTCACTTTTGGACTTCCACATGAGTGACGATAGCTACATCTGTTCAAAATAAATCAAGGCAACCGGACTGTAATTTTCTTGAAGACATTTTGCTGGTCATCAGATTACTTTTCTGAACTGAGAAAGCTGGTTGGATGACCAACGAAACGTCTTCAAGAAAAATACAGGAAGTCCAGTTGCCTTGATTTGCTTTTTACAGATATATCATGACCTGGAGGAATGAGAACCTTCACAGACATATGGCAATAGCAACGTCACCTTGGCAAACCTTTGTACACAGTCAACATGCCGATGTGCCTCCCACCTAACCACCCTTCTTTCAACCTACCCGCCACCCAGTGATCGGAGCTACAGCACCACTACTCAAGTGATGTTCCCATACCATTCAAACATCATGTGACAGCAAACTAAAATGTTCCTCATTTGTGGAAGGGGTGACCGCCGTCAACCCAGCAGAAGTGTTTGCTCACCTGATTGTGGTTATAGGAAGGTCCTCTCCTTTTTGGCGACGTTCGGTTTACATCCAGCTGTTCGTTACACTCCAGCGTCCACTGCAAAAAGTAACACCTACAGGTCACTCCGGGGAAGACACAACTCAGGAACAAAATCACAATGAACAGAAAAGCAGGTAATCATGTCTGATTCTGGTGCGCAAATTGGAAGGAAAACGAGGCAATATTTGGAAAATGTTTGGGTCTGTAGCAAGAAATGAAACCTATCAGAACATTGTTCTGTAGGATCCAGATACCACGCCAGCCATCATGCACAATGGTGTCTCAGCCAACATAGAACATTGCTCTATGAACAATTAGAAATGTCTCAGTTCTAAAACCCCAACAAAGCTCTCACAGATGGCCATGAAGCCATCCACATATGGTGGGGATGGCTCTTATGACCCTACTGCTCAAGTCTAGCCATACATTTACAGTTTTTCTTCTTATTCAGCCTGAACAGCAAAGATGGGGTAATCTTCCCCGCCGGGCTATTGTATCCTGACAGCGGTAGATGTATTCACTCTCAGGGCCGGTTTAAACCATAAAGAGTGCGTTCCAGAGTGGTCAGCCTCTGGAATGCACTTGTATCGCATTCCGGCCAGCTTCCTGCGTTCAGGGGCGAGAGGGGGTGTGGCCGTTCATTGAAGTCAATGGCACCGCAGTCACGCCCCGCACCAGCAGTGTGATTGACTGCACCAGAACACATGGCACATCAGTGCCTGCGTTCCGGTCCAGTGCGATCTGCAAAAATGCTGTAAGCACTAGAACCTGTACAAGTAACCCATCGGTTCTTGTGCTGACCAGAAGCATGCTGATAGGAGGGGAAAGCGAGATGACAGGCTGAGAGGAAATGGGATGAATGATGCTGACGATTAGACTGGGGACATCTACAGGCAGAAATGAGTACTGCAGGGAAAATCTCTGAATTGCAGGTAAATCATTCCGCAAAAGCTGGTTTTGTTAGTTTCTCTTATAACTAGTTATTTTCAGCTGGAATTTTGCTGGAACTCCTCTCCACTTCTGTCCTGAAGACAACCAGAATGGACAGAGATGTTGATAGCAGGGAAAGAAGAACAAAGAGTTTCACGTGAAACATAGCTAAAGCCAAAAATGTTTCCTCCCCCATTTTGAACAGGGCAGGGAATTATAACCCCTGTATTTTATTTCCTCCAAACAGGAAGAAAGAGAAAATACAATGGGGGGAATGTATCAAATCTGGAGCAGCTGTGCATGGCAACCAATCAGCTTCTCTCTTCCATTTTCAAATCTTCACTTAAACTGGAGAAGCTGATTGGTTGACATGCACAACTGCTCCAGATTTTGTCTGCTCCAGTTTTGATAAATTCCCCTCAGTATGTCCAAAGTGAGGAAACCACCATAGCGGTAAGTCATCACAAGTGGCCCCATAAGTACATTTCTCTTCTATTCCTGTTCTTTTTGGGGGTTGCCTCACTTTAAGGAATAACATTCACCAGGACAAATGGAGAGGGTGAATCTCCCCAACAGGGAGACAGACAGCAATTATAGCCTGACAGGGGTTCTGATCCCTCTCCGCTCTATCCAAACTAACAATATCTCAGCAGTAAGTCTCTCTTTACTTTTGCTCACCTGGGATAGATTGGACTGGGATTTCTCGTTCTCCCCGTCCCCCTCAATCTTGTCTGTCAGCAGTCCCTGGACTTGGTACTCCAGAACGTAGCTATCGATGAACCTCTCCAGCTCCTCGATCTCCTGAGAACGACTACTTCCAGCTTCTGAGGAGGCCGACGCTACAGACGAGTTTTCCATCGCTTGTTCACACTAAACAATACAAAGACAAGTCAGGATCCAAGTATTCACCAGGGCGACTTCTCTGATAAAGGTCATCTCAGGTATCTCTGGAGTCAGCCACACTGAGTTACTTCTTTACCTCCATCTGCAGCTAGATCTCTAAATCATAGTTAGAAATAACAAGTATCCAGCAGGGATGATGGGAACCCCTCATAATGGGCACATCAGGTGTGCAGATTTGCCGCCGATGTGGCATGGCAAAAAAAAAAACCTGACAGGGTTTATAACTAGGGATGCACCGATATATCGGCTGCCGAAACATATCGTCTGAAAATGGCACTTTTGGCTAAATGCCAAAAGTGCAATTTTCTGGCTGATACAACGGTGCATTCGATCTTTCTCTCCTCCCCGCTGGGCGCTGCTCTGTGTCCCAGCGGGGAGGAGAGAAAGTGTCACAGCCGGCCGAGCACTGCGGGAAGAGAGAGCTGTGAGCGGCCGGCGTCTCTCCTCCCCGCTCCGCCTCCTGTCACAGATCAGAGGAGAGCGGTGTGGGCGGAGACAGCCAGCGCTGTCACAGGAGGCTGAGCTCTCCTCCCGCACCGCTCGATCAGCCTCCTGTGACAAAGAGTCAGGAAGGAGAGCGGATACAAGCAGTCAGTGATCGCTGAGTGTTTGTACATACCATATTTTTCGCTCCATAAGACGCACTTTTTTCCCCCCAAAGGAGGGGGAAAATGTGCCTGCGTCTTATAGAGCGAATCCCAACGCCCGAGACATGCAGTTTCGGGCGCCGGGCGAGTAGTAGGAGGAGTAGTAGGAGCCACTGCTCGTTTAATACGAGTGATCTAATGAGATCACTCGTATTAAAGCCGAGCAGCGGTGGCGGCGATCGAGTTCAGCAGTAGGAGCCACTGCACGTTTAATACGAGTGATCTAATGAGATCACTCCTATTAAAACCGAGCAGCGGCGACGATCGAGATCACCATAGAGCAGACGAAGAACGGACTTTCTTCGTCTGCTCTGTGTGATCACTGAGACCGTGGCGCTGTAATCACAGCGCCACCTGTCTCAGCGGTCACTAACTGCAGCTTCTGTCACAGCTTCTGTCATAGAAGCTGTGACAGAAGCTACAGTCTGTCGAGTGCTCCATAAGGCACGCCGGACCTCCCTGCGTCCTATGGTCCGGTGCGTCTTATGGACCGCAAAATATGTTAAATGAGGACAGAGTATGGTTACTATATCCTCAATTATGAATGAATGGAAGAGATCTACATCCCCTCCTGTTCATTCATGATTGTAGTTCTAGTAAACATACTCTGTCCTCAAGTAATGAATAAACAGGAACACTCAATATAGAGGATTCCTGATCATTGATAACAGGGGATACAGAAAAAGAGATTGAGGACTCTGTGTCCTCAATCTCTTTTTACATTTTAAAAGGGAAATATCAGCGGTCTGTTTTAGATCCCCAATACTTCCCCAAAACCCCTAAAAGTAAAAAATAAAAATAGTTTAAAATAAAATATAAAAAACATTTTCGGCTTCGGCCTGACAATTCTTTTTATTTCGGTTTCGTTTTTCAAATTTCCATTTCGGTGCGCCTCTAATAATAACCATCTCTTACTCCATCCAAAACTAAAAATGAAAGTTTTGGCTTCAGTTCTACTGTACGCCTTTGTTATTGCACTAATGTCATTTCATGCCGAGGATTTAATTGTGCTTCAACAAACCAAAAGGGAGCAAATAAGGGAAGTTCGCTGTTCGGGTTTACACTTTGCAGTGACATCTCCGTGGATGGAATAGACTCTACTTGACTAAAACAAATACTTCTAAGGTAGAATACGGCACAACCTTCAGGTTCTAGTCTTTGAAGGCTCTGCAAGCGACAAGGTCTTTGTTCTGGGTAAATAACCATTAATCAAAAGAGTGTCACTTGGCTTTATGAAGGGAGGGAACTCCACCGTTCACCCATGTAAATTAAATTACAGCTTTGCAGTCAGGAGGACAGTTTGTTCTTACAATGAAGGGCAAGATTTTCACCGGAGTGTGATTTGGGGCGTATTTACCATACCGGAGAAGAAACCTTGTCTACAACAATGAAAGACTCTGAAAGCTGCATTCTCTCTTGTAATGCAAACTAATAAACATTCTACAACAGACAACGTCTTCCTGGAACACATCATATTACTAATCAACTTTGTGCCAATAAAATTCCATTTTCATCTTTTGTTGCATCTGGATGCTGCTGATCTTATTCAGGCCTTTTCAGCTACATACATATACTCCGGCATTGGCTGCCCATTATTTTAGACCATGTTCCAGATAATGACAATGGTGGACCATGCTTGCACAATGGGTGTCAGCCATCTGTAGTCTTCATTAGGGGGTACATGTGACAGGGTGACAACACAGGAGCACAACTGGGTGTGGGAGGAGAGAGGCCGGCCGCTCACAGCTGTCACAGTATAACAGGAAGTGACTGAACAAGGACCTTCCGGGCAGGATCACCAGCTATTATTTTAATGAAGGTTACAGGTAAAAAGATATAAAAACTACTTTTACATTAACATGTTGTATAGGAACGAAACTCTTAAAGTTGTGCTCAAGAAAAAAAGGCAGGCAGAGTGTGTGTTTGGGTGGAGGCGGCCATCTTGATAGAGGCAGGGCTTTGCTTCCTCTTGTCAGTCTCCAGCAAGATTGATGAGCAGTACAGTAGAGGCATCCACTAAATCGCACTCCAAATCTCATGAGACTTGCAGTTAGAGGCAGAAGTGCCTAAAGCTTGCCATACACAAATAGATTTCTCCATTCACACTCCGTGAGTGGAGGATTCCCCCCGTCAGGCTAGAATATTATGACAAGTGGTGCCCGGGCTGAATGCAAATTGTGGTCCTGCTGCTTTTAAGAGCCTTCATATTGATAAATGTTTCTTTTATTTTATCTACTTGGTGCTATAAAAAGTCCATAGTTTATTTTTGGCAGTGGTCCCCAAACTGCAGCCCCTGGGCCAGATGCAGCCCTATGCCTGCCTTTTAACTTGCCCTCCGAGCACTATTCCTCCCACTGACACCAGTGATGGAGCACTATTCCTCCCACTGACACCAGTGATGGAGCACTATTCCTCCCACTGACACCAGTGATGGAGCACTATTCCTCCCACTGACACCAGTGATGGGGCACTATTCCTCCCACGACACCAGTGATGGAGCACTATTCCTCCCACGACACCAGTGATGGGACATTATTCCTCCCACCGACACCAGTGATGGGGCACTATTCCTCCCACCGACTGCACCATTTCTTGTACTGGCAGCAACCCGGTGGCCTTTTATTGTTTTTACTCTTGATACCAGGGCATTTTCTATTCCACCTGGCCCCGTAAAGTCTGAAGTACAGTGAACTGGCCCTTTTGTTCAGAATGGTTTGGCACCCTTTTAAAGCAACTCTGTCAAGAAATAAAACTTTTATAAACAAGTGTACCTGCAAAAGTGGATTCCTGCTACCCATGCCGTACAGTATTTAGATTTTTACTAAGGAGATATGAGTTATGGTGGCAAAGGCAGGGGTAAAAGTCAATATCCCTTTCCCCATTTGTCAGGTGCACTTGCTTATGGAACATGTATACCATGACAGGGTCACTGTAAAGTTACACAATTTTTTAGTTCAGCCAAAGATCTTGACACACTATAGACCAAGACACTTCGCACCTAACGTGCCGTGCATACACATGTGTAAAAAATAGCACAGTGGACACAAATACGGATCCATAAAGTAGATAAAACCGCTCATTACATCCTTTATTTTAGGAAAATTAATAGCAGGGAACTACCCTGTATTTAAAAAAAAGAGTAACCATAAAAACATAAACATCTGTTTTGATGACCTTTCAGGATATTTTATGAGTGAGAAAGATGTAGGATGCCGTTTGGCAGTTCTAATGAACACCCAGCCCCTTTGTTCTTCATCTTGTAAAACTAAAATCGGGACAACTTTGTCAAACATGGACGCAGCCTACATTGCAGGGGAGGGCGAGACCAGAGGAGTGCGCACTTTTTCTCAATATTAAAAATTCAGCACGACAGTCTACAACTTGCTATTAAAAAAACAATAAACATGCTCCAAGAAACTTCATGGCATGAATAAAGCAGATCTAGTGCGATATCGTTACCCAACATCAATGCCTTAAAGCCTTGGTTCTTAACTGGTGGGCCGTGCCCCAAAAGTGGGGCGCAACCTCGTGTTCAGTGTGTCGCTGCATGCCTTCCACTTTTTTAGGTGAGAGGCTCCTCTGCTTCCCCATAGCGCAGCACTGTCAGTTCTTGCACTGAGCAGCTCTTATAGCTCCCTTGCGTGTCCTGTAGAGGTGCCTGGACCAGAGTGACGTCACATTCCGTCTCCCGGCACCTCTACAGGGCACACAAGGGAGCTGTAAGCAATGTATGGATGGATGGAGCTCCGTCACAGCACAGCAACCCACACTGGACCCCAGACTGGGGATCCATTCCAGTTCTCATAAGGTCTGGGTGGACCTTAAAAAATACAATTTTTGGAGTGTGTATGTATGTGAGAATGTCTGTGGTTGTTTATGTCAGTGTTTTTTAGGGCCCATTCACACTAGTACAGTGCGTTAATCGGATAGCACTGTGCGACTAACACACTTTACCACAAAACCGCACCTAACGTGCATTCTGGTGTGGGAGGTGTGTTGGGTTGCCATTCATTTGAATGGTATCCCAAATGCACCTCCCACCCACAGTTCATACACTTGCACCAGAATGTATGTTACCCTATTGCCGTGCTTTCCAGTGTAGTGCGACTTGGGTCGCGACTTAATGACCACGGACAAATGTGGAGCCTGAGGTTACACAGGTTCAGAACCGCTGCCTTAAAGTGGATGTGAGGGCAAAGTTTCAGTACATCTCTGCAATACATTCATACTTCCCCATTCCCCAACTCTCCATTCCATTTCAGTAAACATTTTTTTTTTGTATTGAGATTGTAGTCCATCACAGGAGTGAGCTTGGAGCGGTGACTACTCTACAACACACACAGGGACCATGGGGAACAAATGTAGCCCCCCTCCAGAAGGAAAAAAACAGTGTCGGCACCAATTCAGAGATGATTGGAGGATCTACAGCCGAGTGATACACAAATAAGACACATTGTTGTGAATAGTTAAAGGTGCTTGACTCTATTGTTAAGATTTAATGCCTGAGTTTAGTGTCACTTTAAATTGGATTGTTTTACTGGGGCTTTAAATCTGCACAGGAATGGGCAGCCGGAGACGTTGCGGACGCTGTGCAGAACTTGCCAGGAAAACACAAGTGCTCCTCCAACTGCTCATATTCCAGTCCAGAGGGGGGATTGCACACTCCAACTGTTCATGCAGAAGATGTATAAACAGCAAACTTCAAAGTCCTTACACAAGGAACTCCGGGGATTTTCACAAGCCTTAGGGCTGCTAAGAATGTTGGGCACAGTTTTGCATTCTTTGCAAAGTTTTGGTTGTAGATATGTATGTTAAAACGATCAGCTTGAAAGAGAACTCTGATTTCTGTTAGCTTTTTTAATGTGGATATGAACTTTTAGACTGTAAGCCCTCAGGGGCAGGGCCCTCATAACCATCTTTTCTTTAATTGTATTGTAACAGAAATGTCTTCCTTATATTGTAAACCGCCACGCTAACTGTTGGCACTATATAATCCTATATAACCTGTATATAGGATTATATCCTAATAAATCCTGTACAATAATAAATAATAATAATAAGGGATGCACTGATACCGGTTTTTCGGTATCTAGTACTTTGCTTTCGGTACTCGCCGATACCATTGCTTCCGCTGTCATGGAGCCGGCTTCCCGGGCAGTCAGAAAGCCGTGCACCATATAATGACATGCCTCCCAGCTTCCTGATTGCCCGGGAAGCTGGCTCCATGTTGTTTGGCCGGCTCAATTGTGATTGGCCGGGAAACCGGCTTCCCAGCCAACCAGCATCGGGCCAGCTTCCCTGCCAATCAGGAAGCCAGGCAGTGAGTAATGACCCGCCTCCCCAGCCAATCAGCAAGCCGGGAGGCGGGTCATTAGTCACCACCCGGCTTCCTGATTGACCGGGAAGCCAGCTCCATGTTCCCCAACAGCACTGCCAGTCAGAGGAAATCTTCTTCTGACCAGAAGTTCCAGTATCGGGGAAGGTATCGGAGCATTTGAGCAAGTACGAGTACTCGCCCAAATACTCGGTACCGATACCAGCACTAGTATCAGTACATCCCTAATAATAATAATTTTAAAAAGTGAAGACTATGGGGTCTATGTATAAACAATTCAAAGGGCCATTTAGCTTACGAATCTCTGTGAATGTTTGTTCTGCACAAATAGAGGCATATATTAAAGTTTTTAGTATATTTGGTATTCAGGTCGAACGTAACATTTGGAAAATACCACATTATGGCCACTAGATAGAGCTGAGGAGCATAGGAAGGAAGCATTTACTACTTTGTTTTTTGATTGGGAACAAGAACATAAATGAGCAGAAATTGGATATTGCACAAACTCTACATTCAGTGCCATTAGAAGGTCAGAGAAGTCAAGTAAGTTACAAGTTTAATTAGTCCTCCTGGACCGAGTGGTGCTCACACAGTGAGTATGGTTAGCACAGGCTGCAAGGTGATGCACCCCCAGACACAGCTTGGGCTCACAGAAAGTGGGTTGGATGACCCTAGCTATCATTTAACCTGGAGGTGAACCGTGGTGCATTATGGATGAGGAAGAGAATGGAGTGGACGAGTGCTGCTTGGCTACTTTATTTTTTAAGAGGAGGGGAGCGCCCTATAATTAAAGTGACATTAAAAGGATAATTTTTTTCCCCCTCCCCCCAATGTTAATGTCAGCTCTTACCTTAAATGATGTCTCTTAATCCGATCATCTTCTTTCCTGATGTTTTCATCTATCCCTCCAGCGGTGCGGCGGCTCTCAAATCCAGCGGTGACTCCTCTCTGCTTGCAGGCACTTCCGATCCAGCTGTGTCTGCATGCGGGTGCACGCGTCCATAGACTTACCTTGCGTCTCTGCTCGTCTCCCGGCTAAGAATCCAAACTGCGCATGCGCCCGCCCCAAGATGTTTTGCGGACAGTTTCTGATTCTCTGGCGGGGGCGCGCAGCGAAAACAAGGTAAGTGTAAACCGCTGTTAAAGCGTTTTTTGAAAAAACTTTTTGCATATATCTACTGCTTAATAGCAGTAAATATAGGCAAAAAAAACGGAGGATTTAGAACCCCTTTAAAAAGAAAAACAAACATTCACTAGAGTTATGCTTTAAGCATATGGGGGAAAAAATATAGATATGGTGCAAGTTGTTTGCCTATGAACTTGTGACTTCACAACCAATCAAAATACCTGAACAATGCCTGGTGCCAGTGTTCATGTATTTTGAGAGCCAGCGGGGCCGACTAGCAAGATACAGAAGCTTGGCCCAGTGGGAAATTCCTCCATACACACAGTTTAGCGTAGATGGAGGAATCTGTTGCACTTTTTCCATCTGACCATAAAAATTCTGCAGATAATCTATAGGTGTATGGCCAGCTTAAGTATTTATCAATGGTTTGAAAGAATTGGCTGGCAAGGCCAGGTATTGTGAAACCATTGGGATTTGCTTTGGTAATGCCAAGTGAGCTCCTGCAATTGTCCGATTCAGTCTTCATCAGTAAACTGGTTTCTCCTGGGAAGGTTTTTTTTGGAGGGGGGTCGGGGAGTTAGGACTTGCTAGGACGCGTTGATTAGATGGGAGGGTAAATCACTTATTTATATCAGCCTATTGACGGTTAAGAGAAGTGAAAGTATTAAAGGAGGGTCAGTGGCTTCTGTGCTGCAATATGTGTATAAAAGGTGCCCATAAACCTTGCGATCAACGGACGAAACTTTTCGTCCGATGATCGAACCGTCATACCATTGTTGTACCGCGGCCCCATCCTCAGTGCAGTAGCATCTTTCCCCCTGAACCGGGAGCCTGAGCTTTCTTGAAACCCTTCTGCAAAACCCAGTGACAGGAAGTAGGGTGATTTATTTATTTTTTTATAAAAATGTCCTTTTTTTTTTATAAGGAATTGTTTTGTGAAGAGGTGTTGGGGCAGCCACAAATGCGGACATTGCCTGTTACTGCAAGGACCGCTTTATCTAGTGTTAAGAATTAGAAATACACCATCTTTAACAGGCCTGCAGCCTTCAGGACAATAAATGCTATGCTGGTAGTACGAGCGACCCGGCAAGACATGAGTGGATTAGGTGGATTGTGAATGACAGGGATTGCCCAACTGATCCCTAACCGCGCTCAGTGCTTACCTTTATCCCAGTCAGTGAATGTGCCGAGATATTAACAGAAAGGGGAGCGGACCTAGTCCACCCTGCAGCTCAGAGAGAGGTGGCTTGCTTCCTTGTGTCTGGCATATCTGAAAAACAAGAATTACAATAATAACTAATATCTTTTTTTTTTCCCCCCTGGAAATCATCTAATATGCAGAAATTGGGGTTAGCACTTTATTTGTGCAGTTGTGGGTTCAAATACCACCAGGGACTTGGCTGTATAGAGGTTGTGTAGGTTTTACCCAGGTGCCCCATTCATTTCACACAAAATCCTAGCACAGCCAGAAAGGGTTCATCTGTTTCCACCCAAAGCATTGCTGGAATGAGGGACGGAAGTGAACAGCTCCACCTCCTCTAAACTGCTGAGCAGTGGCGTAACCAGAGTTCTGGGCGCCCGGGGCAGAATTTTTTTTCCGCCCCCTCCCCCCCATTATATAAACAACCACTGGAACTGTACCCTGCACCTCCCCCCCACGCACACATGTTTTTATTTTAATTTTTCAAATTTTTATATTTTATTTTTTTGAAACTTTTTCATTTTTTTAAATCAATTTTATTTATTAATTAATTTTTTATTAAATATTTTTATTTTTTACTTTACTTTTAGGGGCTTCGGGGAAATATTGGGGGTCTAAACAGACCCCTGATATTTCCCTTTAAAAATAGAAAAAGAGATTGAGGACACAGAGTCCTCAATCTCTTTTTCTGTGTCCCCTGTTATCAATGAACAGGAATCCTTTATGAGTGTTCCTGTTCATTGATAACATGGTATGTTTACTATAACTACAATTATGAATGAACAGGAGGAGATGTAGATCACTCCCATTCATTCATAATTGAGGATATAGTATACATACCAGGTCCTCAATTATGTACAAACACTCAGCGATCACTGATCGCTGAGTGCTTGTACCCGTTCTCCTCTCTGACACACACTGTCATAGGAGGCTGCAAGAGGAGAGCCCAGCCTCCTGTGACAGCGCTGGCTGTCTCCGCCCCCACACCGCTCTGCTGCACTGTGATAGGCGGCCGAGCGGTGTGGGAGGAAAGACACCGGCCGCTCACAGCGCTCGTCCCGCAGCGCTCGGCCGGCTGTCATTTTCTCTCTGATTCCTTTCATCCCTGCTGGGCACTGCTCTGTGTCCCAGCGGGGATGAAAGGAATCACGGCCGCGCCGACAAAACGGCAGGAAAATGTCACTTTCGGCATTTAGCCGAAAGTGCCATTTTCGGCCGGCGCCCCCCCTTCACTTTTCGCCCGGGGCCCGCGCCCCTGCTGCACCCCCGGTTGTTACGCCACTGCTGCTGAGTAACATACTACGGTAGCGCTATATACATCAAAAAATATTTATCATCAAGTTCATTGCTATGCTGTTGTATATCTGGACTGTGCAACCACCCCTAACCTACTTATACTCACCTTTGCTGTGTGACCTGCTACCATAATACAGGACTGGGGCCTGAGCAGCCAGTTACCGGGCCTGAACCCGGTCACATGACAGAGGATGACATCAACCAACACAGTGCTTACATGTGGTTAGGACTGCGGAGGAACAGAGCAGTGGGGTAGCATGGGAAAGGTAAGTATAAGTGACTCGGGTGGGCTTTAACCCTTTCACTGCCAGAACTTTTTTTTTCCCTTTGTTTTTTGCACAAATGTTATAATCCACATTTTAGGCCCAAAAATGACATAAATCCTCCCAGAATTATATTTTTCCTGAAAGCACAGACCCTGTAGAATAAAATGGCGGCAGCTGCAAATATTTATGTTGCATGATATTAGTGCAAAACAAAAAACCACGTAATTTTAGTGTACAAAAACTCAATACTAACAATAATACCCAATTGTTTTGTATATGATAAAAGAGGAGGTTGTGCTGAGTAAATAGATACCCAATATGACAAACTTAAAAATTGTGTGCGTCCAGGTAACTGCGGAAAAAAATACAGTACCCCCAAAATGTCCATAGGAGACGATTTAAAAGCCGGTACAGGTCAGTTTAGAGTTAACTGTGAATATTGGCCCGAGAATTATTGCTCTCACTCTAGCGCACACGGCAACACCCAACATGTGACGCAATCACTGTTTTTCTACGTACACGCACCCAATGTGTGTTTGCATTTGTATGCCCATGTTCGCAGGGATTGGGGACTTTAAAAAAAAAGCTAGGGTATTTTAAATGTTTTTTGTTTTTTTTATTAACTTAATTGCCTTCACATAGGGGGGCTCACAAGCCCCCTATAATAAGCCAGGTTGGGTGTCCACGTCACTGTCTGCATGACATGGTAACTTCCTATTGGCTGTCCAGCGGCAGGGTCCTCTCAGGACTCAGAAGCAGAGTGATGTCATCACAAGGGGACTGTCAGGGTGGGCACATGTGCAACGTTGGCTTAGCAGTTGGCAATGTACCCAGATTGCGGACTCGGGCGAGTAAACTTTGCTTTGCATGGTCGGAAAAAAAAGGATAGGTAGGACAGGGTTCATATTTTGACCAGGATTTGGGTACTATATGCTGCACTAAGGGTTAACAAGCCCTGTGTTGGCAGCTTGCTAGAGAGTCTGTCTGCTGCTCAACACAAGAGAGCAGTGATTTAAAAAGGAGAATTATAAGGCGAGTGATTTTCACTCAGCCTCATAATCTGAGCCGACCTGTGACAATGTAACTGTCACAGGTCGGCTCAGTAGATCGGGCAGTGAGCGAACACATACCGGCGCTCGCTCACTTCTCCATCTATCCCTGCAGAGAGCCGTGACAGGGGAGTGACCGGATTCCCCCCTCCCCTGTCCGATCCCCCAGAGCTGACTGGCGGAACGGACGGGGGAGGGTACAGCTGGCTCTGCCTCTAGATAGGCAGAGCCAGCTGTTACTCACGCAGCTGAGTGGATCCAGACAGAATTGCTGTCTATTGCAGACTACACCGCTGTAGCTCGGTGTATACTGAGCTTTGGGTGACGGGAGGACGCTAGTTTGTGTCCTCCCGTTACCCTTAGGAGAACTATGGGGAAAGGCCCTAACCCTCCTTTAAGAATACACCAAACAGACAAACCCATCTTCCCAGACCTCCAATCAATAGCACTAATCATAGTGCATGAGCACTGCTGATTGGAGCACTGGGCAGGGGACATGCAAGACCGCTGTGCTTTGTGTTCAGCAGAGATCCGGCTCTCTAGTGTGCTGCCCGCTCTGAGCATTTTACCACTTACTGCAAACAAAAAAATAAAACCACAGCCACAATTATTACTATTTATGCAGCTTGACCGCATTACACTATATAGAAAGCTTGAATCAGAAATTGTATGGTTTACTTCAGGGCTTGTTCACACCAAATGCAGACCAGATCTGCATGCGTTTCTGCACACGCAGTGCAGTGTGTTTTGCTGCAGTTCTGCTGCGTTTCGGGCCGTTTTTGTAAAAAAAAATTTTTTTTAAATGTAAGCCTAAAATTGGCTTTGTGTGTTGAAGGGCGCTTGCATGCATTTTTGATGCGTTTGCATGCGTTCCAGAGCAGGAAAAATAGGGCTTGCTGCAATTTTTTTTACATGCTCTGGAACTGAACGCTGTGATGTGAACTAGTGGCCAAAATACCATTGGACGCAGTTTAGATCCGTTCTGTAACTGCTCTGCATCTGGAACAAGCGCCTAATATTGAACTACAGTACAGAACATTTGTATCCCTACATTGGATGAAAGATACAAGTGACATGACCGCAATGTGCTGCCCTCAGGGACACGGAGGAAATAAATTAACACGGTGTGGCCTTGTGCACACCAAATGCAGAGCAGATCTGCATGAGTTTCTGCACACGCAGTGCAGTGGGTTGTGCCGTGTTTTTTGCAGTGTTTTTGATGTGTTCCGGGCCGTTTTTGGTTAAAACATTTTTTTTTAAATTGCGTTTTTGATGCGTTTGCATGCGTTCCAGAGCAGGTAAAATAGGGCCTGCTGCAGTTTTTTTTACCTGCTCTGGAACGGAACGCTGCGATGTGAACTGGAGCTAAAAATGCAATTGGAATACATTGGACGCAGTTTTGCTCCGGTCTGCAACCGCTCCGCGCTTGGTGTGAACAAGGCCTAAGAAGTGTATCCAGGAAGGTAGAACCACTTTCCTCAGCAACACACGCGCGCGCAACACACACCCACCTCATCTTCTGTATTCATATTATGAGGATCACATGGGATGATGTTGTAGCAGAATAGTGAGTGAGTAGAACATAAACACACAATATATAAAACCAAATAGGTAGACAGCGTGCCGGATAACAGACATTGGCGCAGCCAACAGGGATCATTCCATAGAACTCCGATGTCCTGTTCTTCCTACCTATATTCAAAGCAGATCTTCTGCCAGCTTCCTGCGAGTTCACATTGCAGAGCCTAGATCTGAATGATCAGCCCCGACCAGCTGCTTACAGAACAGGACGATTCAGAATAATTGTAACTTGCTCTGTCACTGCTGGAGTATTCGGCCACCGGCAAGGAATGTATTGGGAATGAATGGCTGTAGCAAGAAAGCACATGTTCCTGGTCTCAGATCCAGACCGGAATGCCGGAGCAAACACTGCAGCCTATAAAGATAAGCAAGTCACAGAAAAGGCAGCAGCGAGATGCTCTGGAATCAGAAAACATGCAGCCTGTTCATTCTGTGCTTAGATCTCAATCAGAGCCCTTCAGAAAATTGTATCATTTGCTATGCAGAAAAACCAGTTAGCCATTTTCGGTTTCTGCCGGGGGCTCGTGTATACTGCTCATTCCTGGAACAACCCCCATTTCCTCTAGTATGTCTATTTTATCATTACATACATTGACCATTATGTACGGCCCTTTGGGGATCCCAGGGGCCCCAGTTGAACCACCCCCTCATATCTCAAAAGTTGACAACCACTGCTCTATAGAATAGAAGGTAGTGTTCTTGATTTTATATGTTGCAGGGCAGCTCCTTCTCCTCCCATGTCATATCTTGTACTCGATTCCGCCTGGAGTCTGTAAATCACACCCTTTAACTAGTGCTCAGCGCTATGTAATAAGCCGGAGCGTTATAAATAAAAGGATAATAATAATGCCTCCCTTGCTGCTTGCA